TTTTTTTCCCCTCGCTGAAATCTCCGCTCGTTACCTACGGGGCGGCTGGTGCCATGGATTTGCCGTACCGGGGATCGGCGTCGCTTTCGCGTGCTGCCTGGCCAGGACTGGCGACCGTCTCCCTGAGAGGGGCCACCCATCTATGAGGCGGAGAGAAGAGATTTATCTTTATTTATTTATTTTTTTAATAACAGCCCCTCTTGCGCAGATTGCAGAATTAACTGTGTACTTTGGGTCTGGACTCAAAGGAGGAGAAAAAAAAGCAGTGCAGAACTGAGACTTGGAGCTAGCTGTGTATCGGGAACCTATGATTTTTCTTTTTGCCTCTTTTTTTCTTTTCCTTTTAATATGAGAGCTCTTTGACTGTTTCACACATAGCACTGAGGGAAGGTGGTTAAAAACACTCAGCAAAGCAGCAGACAGACGCGCCTCTGTGCCAGTGAGTGGATAACAGCCTTGTTTTCCTGATCCTCAGTCTCCCGGAGAAAGAGGTATAGTAAAAGTGCAGCTCAATCCGACACCCCCCTCTCATTCTTTATTTTTCCCCCTCCCTTCCTTCCAAAACATTAAATCTGAGATATATATCTATATTCTGTCTATAGAGTGAGCCAGAAAAGCGCTAGGAAGAAGCTGCAACTAATGTCTGTGAAGGGAGGAACATGAGGCAATAGTGAATGTGATTTGTTCCACTGGATCTGACTCATCCAGCAGGCTCAAACACCTGCATTTCTGGATGTGTCACTCATTTATTTCTGGCTGTTAAAAAGAACCTGGAATAATATTTAGTTCCTTCTCCCCAATATCTGTTTATATCTCCCACTAACTGTGGAAGGGAGATCATAGGGCTGGTATTGCTGCTGTTCATTTTTTTTTTTAATGTTTTTTCCTTCCACATGCACAAACCAAGATGCCCAGAGAGGCTATTAGAGCTTGTAAGCGCTGCTAAGATGCCTCACACAAGCCAAGGAGCTGCCTAGGGTTTAATATAAGCGAATTAGCTGATTAAAAGATCTGCCACTCTATTCATCACTGAGGTTGTTTTCCCCCTTCCTTCCCTCCCCTCCCCTAAATGAAGAGGACCAGGAGGCAGTGTCATTGGAAGGAGATGCTGAATAGAAAGAAAAGAGAGGCACTTGACAGCGCAGCCCTCTGAATGCAGAGACTGTTTCCCTTTTAGCAAGAGACTAAGAGTGTGTGTGTGCAGTGGCTTTGCTTGCTCTCCTTCTTTCCTTCCCCCCACCTTCCCACTCTCTTTCTATTTTCCTCTTTCTCTCCCTTAAATCCGTGCGTCCAGCCATGGGTTGCCTGTTGATTTCCTCCTGACTGGAGAGAAAAGCAAACTGGAATTAAACTGCCGCGAGAAAAGTGCAGCTCCTCAGCCACACACACACAGCAAGAAAGGATGTGGTGGTGGCGGCGGCTACTGGCCTGTCTTAAAGAAACCCAAGTGTGCATCTGATTGAGCACAGCCTGTGATTTCTCTCAAAATATATATTTGCTCTTAATGATGACAATCGGCTGGTGGATTTCTTAATTCTGTCCCCCTCACACATCCACGCAAGAGTGGGAGGCTGGTAGTAGAAAGAGAGAAAGGAAACTACGAGACACTGTTTTCTTTCTTTCTTTTTTTTTTTTTTTTCCTCTATTTTGTTTTCCCTTCTACACTGCAATTCCCATTCCTTCCTCTCCTGCTTCGGGAAGGAAAGAGGGAGCGCGTACGAGACAGAGAAGGGGGGGAAATACCGATGGCAGCAAGATGCAGTTTGCCGCCGCGAGCAATGCGAGATTAGATCTCTAAATGCAGCAAAACACTCCCTGAAAACCAACAACCCCGCGGTGCAATCAGACATTTCACTGCCTCTCACTGCACACGAAGAGGGCTTCAACAACAAGCTGAGACTTTCTTCCCCTTCCATCTCCCTCCTGCCCCCCCCGCTCTACTCCATCAATCGCATCACAAGTCAGGAGCAGCAAATAAGCTTTTTTTTTTTCCCCCCCGCTCTAAACCCTGTGGCCACCCCCTTTCCATGTATATATAGATACACCCATTAAAAAAAATATTTTGGACTGTTTTTAGAAAAACAACCACTGCTGCTGATTTTTTTTTTTATTATTTTTATCACCCTTTGTACAACGGAGATTCAAGGATCAGGAACGCTTTGCCTATTTGAAGGACAAGATTTTTTTTTTCTGATTTTTTTTTTTTTTTTAATCCTCCTCCGCCTCCTCCTGCTGCTGAAGTTGGACAGACGAAGTACCCGGGAGGGGATCATAAGCACAACAAAGTGCTTACTGAAACACTGCCGAAGCTGCTTTGTTCTCCCCACCTCCAGCCCCCTCTTTTGCACCCTCACCCCCCGATTGCTCCCTCTTTCTGAGCTACATGGTCCATTTGCTGCTTCTCATCCTGTGTCTCTGCAGATGTTTTAGAGCAACAGGTCCAGGAACTTAAAAGATAGGGGTGGGGAGAGAAGGAAAAAAAAAAAAAAAAAAAAAAAAAAAAAAAAAGAGACACAGGAGAAGGAGGAAGACTAAATCCAGCGCAGAAGGCAGAGAAGACAGGGACAGCCCTGGTCGCTGCTGCAGCTGCCACCACCCCACCCCCTGCACGGGGATGTACCTTTCCATTTGTTGCTTCTTTCTCTGCTGGGCTCCCGCCCTGTCGCTGAAGAACCTGAATTACTCGGTGCCTGAGGAGCAGGGAGCAGGCACGGTCATCGGCAACATCGGCCGCGATGCGCGGCTTCAGCCGAGCGCGCCGGGTGGCGGGCTGCTGCCCCCGGAGCGCGGCACTGGCCCCGGGGGCCGCGGCACCAAGTCCACGTTCCGGGTGCTGGAGAACTCGGCCCCGCACCTCCTGGACGTGGACGGCGAGAGCGGGCTGCTCTACACCAAGCAGCGCATCGACCGCGAGGCGCTGTGCCGGCGCAGCGCCAAGTGCCAGCTGTCGCTCGAGGTGTTCGCCAACGACCAGGAGATCTGCATGATCAAAGTGGAGATCCAGGACCTGAATGACAATGCGCCAACTTTCCCCTCTGACCAGGTGGACATGGACATCTCAGAAAATGCTGCACCGGGTACCCGCTTCCCCCTCACCAGCGCTCATGATCCAGATGCTGGGGACAACGGGCTGCGCACCTACCTGCTCACCCGTGATGATTATGGTCTCTTCTCTCTTGACGTGAAGTCCCGTGGAGACGGCACAAAGTTTCCAGAGCTGGTGATCCAGAAGCCTTTGGACCGTGAGGAGCAGAGCCACCACACCCTGGTGCTGACAGCGCTGGATGGTGGTGACCCACCACGCTCGGGCACCGTGCAGATCAACGTGCGCCTCATTGACTCCAATGATAACAGCCCCGTGTTTGAGGCTGCTTCCTATGTGGTGGAGCTGCCGGAGAATGCTCCACTGGGTACTGCTGTCATTGACCTCAATGCCACCGATGCTGACGAGGGCACCAATGGGGAAGTGCTCTACTCATTTAGCGGCTATGCGCCCGAACGTGTCCGTGATCTCTTCAGCATAGACCCGCAAAGTGGCCTTATCCGTGTCAAAGGCAACCTGGACTATGAGGAAAACGGCCTCATTGAGATTGACGTCCAGGCCCGAGACCTGGGGCCCAATCCTATCCCCGCACACTGCAAGGTCACTGTCCGCCTCATTGACCGCAATGACAACGCGCCCACCATTGGCTTTGTCTCCGTTCGCCAGGGAGCGCTGAGCGAGGCCGCCCCACCAGGCACTGTCATTGCCCTGGTGCGGGTCACTGACCGTGACTCAGGCAAAAATGGACAACTCCAGTGCCGGGTACTGGGCGGTGGTGGTGGGCCCGGCGCTGTCCCCTTTGCCCTGGAGGAGAACTATGACAACTTCTACACCGTGGTCACTGACCGGCCTCTGGACCGTGAGGCACAGGACGAGTACAATGTGACCATTGTAGCTCGTGATGGAGGCAACCCCCCCCTCAACTCCACCAAGTCCTTCTCTGTCCGAATCCTTGACGAGAATGACAACCCACCCCGCTTCAGTAAGAACCTCTACGTGCTGCAGGTACCTGAAAACAATATCCCAGGAGAGTACCTGGGTTCTGTTTTGGCCCAGGACCCTGATCTGGGCCAAAATGGGACAGTCTCTTACTCCATCCTGCCCGGGCACGTTGGTGATGTCTCCATCTACACCTATGTCTCCGTCAACCCCACAAATGGTGCTATCTATGCCCTGAGGAGCTTTAACTATGAGCAGACCAAGCACTTCGAGTTTCGTGTGCTGGCCAAGGACTCAGGTTCGCCCCACCGTGAGAGCAATGCCACGGTACGCGTCACTGTGCTAGACGTCAATGACAATGCGCCTCTCATCGTCCTGCCTGCCCTCATCAACGACACCGCTGAGCTGCAGGTGCCTCGCAATGCCGGTGTGGGTTACCCTGTGGGCACCGTGCGTGCCCTGGACAGTGACTTTGGGGAGAGCGGGCGCCTCACATACGAGATTGTGGAAGGCAATGAGGAGCACCTCTTTGAGATGGACCCAACTAGCGGTGAGATACGCACCTTGCACCCCTACTGGGAGGAGCTCAGCCCTGTGGCTGAGCTTGTGGTAAAAGTCAGTGACCATGGCAAGCCCAGCCTTTCCGCAGTGGCCAAGCTTATTGTCATTTTCAGGTGAATGGCGAGCAGCATCGGCGACCGCACTGGGACTTGTCGCTGCCCCTGATCGTGACCCTGAGCACTGTCTCCATCATCCTGCTGGCTGCCATGATCACTATTGCCGTGAAATGCAAGCGAGAGAACAAGGAGATCCGCACCTATAACTGTCGCATTGCCGAGTATAGCCACCCTCAGCTGGGAGGAGGGGGAGGCAGTGGCGGGGGAGGAGGAGGCAGTGGCAGTGGAGGGGGCAAGGGCAAGAAGAAGAAGATCAGCAAGAATGACATTATGTTGGTGCCCAGTGAGGGCGAGGACAGCCGGGGCCCCCTCAATGTCATGAACGTGGTGAGCAGCCCATCCCTGGCCACCTCACCCATGTACTTTGACTACCAGACCCGCCTGCCCCTCAGCTCTCCCAGGTCTGAGGTGATGTACCTGAAGCCCGCCTCCAACAACCTGACTGTACCCCAGGGACATGTGGGCTGCCACACCAGCTTCACAGGGCAAGGGACTAACGCCAGCGAGGCTCCCCCGAGCCGGATGTCCATAATTCAGGTAGGAGACTTTTAGAATACCCTGGACCTCGCTTTAGACACTGGTTTAACTTTACCTTTTGTCTGCAGTGAAATCTGCTGTAAGGCACCACTGAAGGGAACAACACAAGTCACTTGAGAGGTGGACTTAAAAGCAGCAGCAGATCACGTTGGTGGGTCTGCTTCTGCAGTCACACTGGTGTTTCCTGTGTGACTCTAAAAGTAAATCTGCCCTGAGATACATAGAGTTACAGCAGTGTAAAAGAGGTGCGTGTGAGAGTGCAGGCAGGCATTTCATATATTTGGGGCGCTTTGGTGTATTTTCCCAGACGATCATCAGAGAGAGTTGGGCTCATTTACAGGTTTTGCTTTAATTTGGGGTGGGGAAGGGGGAGGATGTATCTGAAGCAGTCATGTCATCTGCAGTCACTAACATGGGAGAAACTCTACACACTGAGGACATCTATTGCAACAGTGTATTATAGCCTTCCGATCCTGTATGTAAATATGAGCTTTCTTCCCAAGATATATGTTTTTATTATGTTTTTATTTTTTTAAAAATTTTCTTCTTCAGAATATATATACATAAATATTTATTTTTGACACAGAACAGAATCATTGGGGCCCCATTGCCTCCTCCTCTCCCCATAAACAGCCAAGCCTTCAACGTTGAAAGTTTTGCTTAGTCAAGTAGAAAACAATGTATGTGGTGATTCCCTCCTACTCCCAAATGTTAACAAAACTCACTTCCTGTCATGAAACAACAAAACAACTAGTCAGATTTCCAGTAGCCTGAATCAATATTGATTATTGCTTTATAGCGAAAGGCTTACATGTTCTGTTTTCTACCAAAGCTCATTTAGAAATCACAGCTGGGCTGCATTCTGCTGTCAGTTATATCCACACCGTCTTACTAACTTTTATGAAAGTGAGAAATGGCAGAATTTGGCCCATTTTAATTTTTAATGACTAGTTTCAAGTGCAAACTCAGATGATATATTCCAGAGCAGTGAACTTGCAGACTCAAAGTGAGGGCAGAATTTGGCTCCAGTTGATTTAATATGAAGTATGACTTCATGATTAATGCATCTTAATGTTCAAATGCTACAGGTATGTTCCAAAGTGATTTTTAACGTTTGGATTGAATGCAGGCTCTGGATAATGACTATTAAATATATTTGAAATGTCATATCTGTTTTGTCCTGTGGTTCTCCTCATATGCTGTTCTGAGTCATAGGGGAATGAGCTGAGTGTATCAGAAGTGACACAGACTCATTTTGTGTATGTAGTTAGTGGGGAAGAAGTTGCTCTGTAGACACTTGATGTACCAAAAGAAAAATTCATAATACCTTTCAGTTGTCATACTGTGCAGTCTGTGAACATCGAATGTTCTAGTTGCTGGCTGCATCTAATTTTATAAACTAAATAGAAGTAGCCTCTAGTAATTGGCAAGTAGCCGAAATTCTAGCATTGATTGTCCATAAAGTGAATATATAGGATAAAAGCTAAGCTAAAAAAAAAAAAGCTATCTCTATAATGTCACTGTGAACTAATCCTCAACCCACTATTTATTGAGCTGTGTCACAGAAAGAATTTCATTTTATGCCTATCATGAATTTGTGTTGCTATCAATTAGGTGAGTAGAGCAATACTTAAAATCGGAAATTGATTTTGACAAAAAGTGATGCTTCAGGAAGGAGCTTAGGTTAGGGCACAACCGAAGAAAATTTGATTTTTAATTCATGTTTTAAAAGACAAGTAATTTTCAATGACACTTGTTTAAGTAATGTCAACTTTTTTTTACTGTAAAATGGAGTGGTCAGAATGCTTTTTTTTTTTTTCCAAGTGATGAGTGTACTAGTTACTAAAAGATAGAAAACTATACTTTTAAACAACCATGTAATGTCTTTTATAAAGCAAATAATTCATGTATTGATCCTACTAAGTAGTAAAGATTCAACTGTAGTGTAAAATCCCTATGGAAAATATGATTCCTTTTTTTTTTCTTCTTTTTTTTTTACAGTGTTCACTGTATAATATCAATCATATTTTTTTTTCCTGAGATCTATATAAAGCTAAAAGAGGAATTTCCTCCCTTAAAAAGGTGTGTTGTGGTTTCTATAAGAGTTTCCGATACGGCAACCGTAGCAAATGTTAACCATAATTCCTCCTAGTACATACTGGCTTAGTACATATCTTTTTTTTTTTTTTTTTCCTTTCCCTTAGTATCTATACAGAGTATTCTGGCTATTTAGATGGTCTAACCTGTAGATTAGGAAACATTCATTTTTCACTAGTGAATCCCCCTTGAACGTATTATTAACAGAATATTTTGTAATTGTATTAAAAGAAAGAATACACTCTATTGCATGCAGAAGTTGGGCTCTACTTAAGAAAGACACGGAATTATAGTAGTCAGATGGATAAGCCTGGTCCTCTTCACTGTACTTTTGTATTATTAAAATATACTTTTTATTCTCTATCCCCATATCTCTAGAGCAAATTTTATATAAATTTACTCTTAGAACACAGATGCTACTTTGTGTCTGGTATTGTTCTTCTAGATCATGTAAAATTCAAGCTGCAAACTTATAGAGAAAGAGTAAATGAAGAGCCCTGTCTCTGGATCTAATATATCCTTGATCGCTCCAGGAAACCTGTTTCTTGGAAGAGTAAATTGCAGAGCTAGGAATCAAAGGTATAGCCTGTAGAAAAAAAAGATGCACAGTCCAAACAGCTCTATGAGGCAGAGCTAAATGATTGTGTAAAGATTCTGTAGCAAATAACCACTTTTTTTTTCCAGATATATTACCGAACCACGATAATCCCACATAATATAATTCATACAGCTGAACTGCTTTCCTTCACTCTCATTTTCTCAGCAAGTATCTATAATGACAGAGTTCTCTAGCAGGAGAGAGTCATTAAAACATACATATATATATATTTAAAATATGCTGTATTAGTTCATTCAACTGATTCTATAAATATTTTAAATCAAATAAATAATTGCTTTCTCAGTAAGATCCAGATTTTCTCACTTTTATGAGGAGCACATAACACTTTTTCTGCTTTGCAGTAAGAACCAGTGAAGTCAATAAACCAGGGTATGATTCTCGTATTTCTGCTGAAGAGTATTTTATCCTACAGACAGCCCAATTAAAATCAATGAATACCTGTGAAGTGTTACTTAGTGACCATGGGTTTCAAGCTGACCCAAAAGGACCGGCAACTGAATAAAATATAGTCTGATTATATGTAAGAGCAGGGTAATCTTGTCTCTCTTGAAGTGACTTCTGTTATACTTTAGTCACAAGTTTTAACAACTTATTTACTCGCTTATTTGTAGCATTTAGTTATTTGCGATGGTTTTATATGTCTTTATATGTTGCTTTTTTGAAACAATGAAGTTCTCTGGTGTAGTAAATCAGTGATTTAAATATGCATCCGCTATATATGTAGAATATTGGATTAATAGCTAAGGACAATGAATACCGTGAATATTTATTGATACAAGAGGCTTGCAAGTCTTAGGGCCTCTGAAAATCAGAACATTTGTGATTAAACTTAAGGTTGATATATACAAAGAACAGTCATTAACAATGTACTGAGAAGTTAGGACAGCTACACAGCATGTTTTATCATTTTTTAACTTCAGCAATCATATTCTAAGCATATTTTAGAATCAGTACTATGCACTCCAAAAGACAATTCAATTAAATATATTTAGTTATAACTAAATAACTAAATATTTAGTTATAAACTCTGTAGTCATGACTGCCAGGCTCAAAATTCTTTGGAAGCTTGGAATCACTTCAGATCCAAAGTAGACATTTTTACTGTGGAAAAAGGAGAAAACTGGAGACAATGGAATCTCTTCGTGTCTGAAAGAAGATTTTTCTAGACCTTAAAGACTATTAAGTAAATTCTGTTCATCTTATTCTGGTGAGTAAATCAAGCTGGTCTGCTCACCTAACTTTGAGAAACAGAATTTTGCTCTGTGTTTGAAGAAGCAGACCGAAACAGACATAGAGTACAATATCATGTATAAGCATATGTGTATATGTTCAAATCAGTCCTACTAAAAAGTTCTGTGTTCATACTAACATAGGAAAATCTTCCTTTAGAATAAGCAGCCACTTCTTTTCCTTCAGGTTTCCAGCAAATAAAAGATTGGATGGATCCTTTAAATAAGTAGGTTCTAGAAATTGATTCTTTCAAGTGTAAGAAAGCTGTGTACATATTCAAGTCACACTGATAATCCTAGAGATTATTTATTATTACACTTGTGATGCAGCGTGGAGGGATTTGTAAATACATCAACAGTGAGACAGGAGTGAATATAGCAGAAACGGTGGTCACAGCTTTTATTAAACAACAAAAAGAGACAAAATGTGTTACAAGAAGCTCTCAAGCTGGGAATTGCCACATTTACAGAAGTATTCAGTCGTGCAGCATTGTAAGATAAAGTACAGATCGTTCTTAATACATCAGGCACCTGATGTTTATGGTGTGTCAACAGCCTACTGCTAAGTCCCAGCGCATCCTCAGGTGTCTAGTGGGTATCTAAGAAGACAGTATTCGGAGGAAGTAAAAAATAAAGTGTATTCATGCTGCTCTCTATTAGATATACTGTTGTTCTATGGTTTGCCTGGAAAAAAATCATTTTCAAGAGTTTTCAGTGGTCTGGATTTACAGAAAAAAGAGAGCAGCTGCTGCAGGATAAGGGGAATCAACTTTACCTGCAGAAGTTGCATCTGTTGCATCTGTTCTCAGTGTTTTAAATTCCTGTCTCATAAGAGGTGTCGATTTTGATCTCTTCTCCTGCAAATGAGGAACTCTTTCTCAGTAGAGCTGGTAGAAGTTAGTATTACACTAACTAGAGGAGAATGGGGGAGTTCTGCACATTTGCAGGTTCATAGGTTTGTGCATTATAACTCTCTGCATCATGGATTTCTGAGCTGACACCAATTTGTCATCTGATAAAATTTTGGAATGACCCAACTAAGATGTGTTATGGTG